CTATGCCACCATCTCCCCAGCCCTGCACAGCTCCCGGAGGCAGATGGATGCACAGCTCTCCCTGGTCAGCCAGCACCCCATCGGGCCCTTCCCCAGGGTCCAGTCCCCAACCAGGTTGAAGACCCCATCCCCAGAGGGCCCTGCAGCTGCTGGGCTGCAGAGCCCCCCTTCCCCATCCCCTCCTCCTCCTCCATCCCACCCAGCTCCCCCTCCCCCGGACAAGGGCAGCCCCCAGGCCATGGCCAACCAGCATTTCATCATGGTGGAGGTGCATCAGCCCAACAGTGAGCCTGACGTCAACGAAGTGAGGCCCTTGCCCCAGGCCAGAGGTGGGTATGACATTATCAGCCATGGGGTGAGGAAACCCTCTCTGGGGTGTTCCTCAAGAGGGAAACAGGAGAGGAGGCAGAGCTCAAGATCTCAGACCTTGTGACGGGTCTCGTGATCCAAGGGCTCATAGCAGAGTCTCTCTGCTCCGGAGCCAGGCTGGGAGAGCTGGGGGTGTTCCACCTGGAGAACAAACAAGGCTCCAGGGAGACCATAGAGCCCCTTCCAGTGCCTAAAGGGGCTCCAAGAGAGCTGCAGAGGGACTTGGGACGAGAGCATGGAGTGACAGGATAAGAGGGAATGGCTTCTCACTGCCAGAGGGCAGGGACAGATGGGATATTGGGAAAGAATTCTTCCCTGTGAGAGTGCTGAGGCACTGGCACAGGTTGCCCAGAGCAACTCCATCCCTGGTAGTGTTCCAGACCAGGTTGGACAGTGCTTGGAGCAACCTGGGCTGGTGGAAGGTGTCCCTGCCCATGGAATGAGATGAGCTTTAAGGTCCTTCCAACCCAAACCATTCTGTGATCTCAAGGGCAGGAACTGAGGGAGGTAGTTGAAAGAGGCTGCAGACCCCAGCCTGGAGGTCAGATTTGATTGCAGAGTTTCCCTTTCCCATTGGGGCTGTGAGCTGGTGGCACATGCTCTGAAGAGTCACAGAGGCAAACATTGCCATTTGGTTCAAACTACAGGTCAGCAGTGAGGTAAAAGCTACAGAGCAAAAAAAAGGAACCTGTAAAGCCTCCCACAGTGGAGGTGATAATCTCTAGATCTGGTCATCAGCAGAGTGGTGTTAATCTGTGAGACAAAGCCTTCAGCCCTGGGTTTTGGCAACGCTGGAAAAGCTGTGAGGGGCAGGGACAGGGCAGGCAGCTCCCAGTTGGCCTTGGCACACCCCCAAACTGCCCTTGGGTGTCCAGTGCAGCTCAGGCTGAGCTCTGCTTACAGACCTTGCTCTGCTGGGCAGCTGGTTGCAGCTCTCTCTTTGCTGCATTAGACAGTGAAATCCTCATCAGTGGAGTGGTAAAGAAAGAATTAAAAAAGAAGCAATTATGGGGTTTTCCCATTAACTCCAGCTTTGGAGGAAAAAAAAAAAAGTCTAATCGTGCCCACACTCAGCTCGGGAATCACGTTTATCCTGAGTGCATCCCTGGGAAAAGAGGTGAAGGTGGGGGAGGAGGGGGAAGGGATGGAGGGGACCCTGTGGTACCCCAGCCCGGACCCAAAGGAGCGGCGATGTCACCCTCGTGTGGCACAGTGCGCTCACTGCAGTGCCTTGGTTCCTCCCTGGCAGCTTGAAGCCACTTGTCCCTTGGAGCTCCCTGTGCACAGCTCTGCTCTGCTGACAGGAGGTATAACCAGGTGGGGCTTGGAGTCTTCTCCCAAATAACAAACGACAAGAGGAAACAGCCTCAAGCTGTGCCAGAGGAAGTTCAGCTTGGA